TCATTTTTAAATATGCATTTCACTTCCCAGAATAAGAACTTTTGAGCTTGGGCTGTTTAGTTTTAAAGTTTGAACAAGAACATTTGAAAAATTCCTTTTAAGCTTTTCATGAGATAGAACTACTACTTCAAAAAATGCAGTTCACTCACCATCCCATGCTCGAGAGTAGTATTTGACATTGTTTTGGATTTCTATGATGAATATAATACACAAATTAAAGGAACTCATGTGATGTAATGAAAACAGATTGTTTTGAGCTTGGGTTGTTAATTTTTAATGCTTTTAATCTGCTTTAGCATCTATTAGATTCAGCTGAAGTTTATCATTTTTAACTATGCTTTTCACTTCCCAGAATAAGAACTTTTGAGCTTGGGCTGTTTATTTTTAATGTTTGAATAAGAACATTTGAAAAATTCCTTTTAAGCTTTTCATTAGATAGAACTACTACTTCAAAAAATGCAGTTCACTCACCATCCCATGCTAGAGAGTAGTATTTGACATTGTTTTGGATTTCTATGATGAATATAATACACAAATTAAAGGAACTCATGTGATGTAATGAAAACAGATTGTTTTGAGCTTGGGTTGTTAATTTTTAATGCTTTTAATCTGCTTTAGCATCTATTAGATTCAGCTGAAGTTTATCATTTTTAAATATGCTTTTCACTTCCCAGAATAAGAACTTTTGAGCTTGGGCTGTTTATTTTTAAAGTTTGAACAAGAACATTTGAAAAATTCCTTTTAAGCTTTTCATGAGATAGAACTACTACTTCAAAAAATGCAGTTCACTCACCATCCCATGCTAGAGAGTAGTATTTGACATTGTTTTGGATTTCTATGATGAATATAATACACAGATTAAAGGAAATCATGTGATGTAATGAAAACAGATTGTTTTGAGCTTGGGTTGTTAATTTTTAATGCTTTTAATCTGCTTTAGCATCTATTAGATTGAGCTGAAGTTTATCATTCTTAACTATGCTTTTCACTTCCCAGAATAAGAACTTTTGAGCTTTGGTTGTTTATTTTTAAAGTTTGAATAAGAACATTTGAAAAATTCCTTTTAAGCTTTTCATTAGATAGAACTACTACTTCAAAAAATGCAGTTCACTCACCATCCCATGCTATAGAGTAGTATTTGACATTGTTTTGGATTTCTATGATGAATATAATACACAAATTAAAGGAACTCATGTGATGTAATGAAAACAGATTGTTTCTCAACCACTTCATGATCAAATTCTACTTTTTAATTATCTTTCTCATGTACTTCATTTATAGGAACAATGCCACCTAAGAAGGTGTATCTGGGAGACGTTGTGAAGAACTTACCAAGCAATTCTGCTTTCCTGGTGAGAGTCACTCGGAAATGGAATGCCCTTTTTGGGGAGAAAAATCGAGCCATCAAATCCATTGAAATGATTTTCATGGATGAAAAGGTTACACACTTTTTCCTAATCCATACTTTTGTATTAATGATACAAAATAATAATAATAGACATTATGTTGGTAAATATACCAAACGAGAATACATTGGTTAAAACCAATATATTGTCTAGGTTTAAACTTTAAACGAATTGAGCATTATTGGGTTCTTATATTAATATTTAATTTTCAATATAAATTTTATATATGAAGTATACAACATATCATATACATTAGTGTTGTTAATATAACTAATATAGCATGAATTTAAATTCACAATGACATGGTTCAGATGATTATTTTTAAATACAGTGTTGTCAAATGAACATGTTAATATAGCTTACATATTCATTTTCATGTTCTGACAGTTATCAATTATCTTCTGTTTTAAACTTCGAAGGTAGGTTTTTTAATATTCATCCTTTTTGAAATATGTTTGTGTCATATTTTCATTCAAACTTGAAATGCTTTTTTTGAAAACTTATTTTTTTATATTTGATATAATTTTTTATGAAATTTTGAAAATTACAAACCTATAAACTGATTAGCAAGAGCAAACGGAAATTAAGAAAACATGCAACCTGCAAAAAGTAAGCCCTAAGTTGATACCAAGCATTCCAGTTTCAACTCACGTACCTTTCTAAGTTTAATAAAAATATTATAGGCTTTTTTGGCATTGGTAGGGAATAGAAAGTTTTTTTAACCTTATAAAAAATGTCATGGCAGTGATGTTCAAATCTTAATCAAATGCAAAAAAAAATTATAACAAATACATAATTAACGCATGAAAAGATTCTGATTACTTTGTTTTGTTGATGCTTCTAAAAGGGTACGACAATTCAAGCCACTGTTCCGATTCGACTAAGTCATCAATTCAACGCTATTGAAGAAGGATTGATTTATGCGGTCAATCACCTAGAAGTTAAAGTGAATGATGGAAAGTATAGGATCACTGCCCACCCATACCGCTTTGAGTTGACAGTGTTCACTAAAATGCAACATAAAGAGCAAAAAAGCTGTCCTAGCTTTGTAACTAGATTTAAATTTTCAAGCTTCACGGATATTAAGAAGATGCAGAATTGTGATTCTCCTTTTCTGATAGGTATGTTTTTGTTTTATATTTTAAATTTATGTATGACGCTAATATACTACAAATTTAGTTTTTATTGTATTCTTTCGATGATTGTATGCCTGAAATTAGTTCTAATCCACTTATTGATGATAATGTTAAATCGAATGAACACAGATGTGATTGGTGCGTATGATGTTGAACAAGAGTTCAAAAAGCAAAAGACACAAAAGGATGCTTGGTATACCGATTTTCATTTGGCAGACTTGGAGTTGAGTTCCTTTCAAAACTCTATTTTATCCGTAATGCATGAATAATTTGTCATAATGTTTTACAATTTTGCTATACCGTAATACTATTGTGAAGGGGCCAAAATGTTTTATGTACTTTGTATGGAGACCTGGTGCTTGAAGTCGAGAGGTTTTTAGCTACTTCGTTTAATGGTCCAGTTATATTCATTATCCAAGCATGCCGCACAAATAAAAGATATGGTAAATATGTCTGACCATGACCTTTTCACCTGTAAAGATGTAATAGTTTTTTTTGTTCATTAAATTATACGTTTTTCACCTATAGGTGAAAAGATTGGAGTGGCTTCTTCATGGGATGCTACCAAGTTAATTTTGAATGACCATATTCCAGAGATAGAGGATTTCCGATGCCAGTAATGATCCTTTTCCTTCTTTATAATAACTAAATGTGTCAAATTTATATTATGATTTATTTATATTATGATTTATATTCACATTATGAACAAATCTAGGTTTTTGAATTCAACGAAAACAATGAAGTCAATTGCAAGTCATGCAACTTCATCTTGCGTGACTATAAGAGATGATATCACGCAGTTTGGGTTTACCATGCCTCTTTTTGATTTGGACACCGCCAAAGAGGTATGATTTTATATGATTTCCTAAATATCAATCAGAACATAAAAAATGTCAACCTGTCAACTAAGTAACATTGGCAATCAGTAAAAAAACCTTAATTCACATAATGTGGGAAGTCGATTAAAAAAACAGTACCAATAGTAACATTACTCGACAATTCCAGGATCAACCTCACCAATGCTTTCCTCATTTTAATAATTCTGCAATTTATGTGCTTTAGATGACCAAAGAATCTGTACGGAAAGTTGTATACCGAATTCCTTCTAATTGAAAAATCAAATGAGAGTTTTTACATTGCTTTTTCTTACATATTTCATCTTTTTCTTCTTTATGTTTTAGTATACCTCGCCTATGAACTAAACTGTTTCAGAATAGAAATATTTTGCTAACGAATCAACCAAGTAACATTACCCATCAGAATAAAAACCGTTAAGCTACTGAAGTGTATGACCTAAACTCATCTGAAAATTATGCTGATTTTCCGCCAATTTTGCATATTTTACTTCATTCAAATAATGTTGAAGTTTTGTTAAAAATATGCACAAATACTTATATCACTCAAGAATTTCAATCTTATTTGGCAAACTGTTTTCACCGTACCATTTTATTAACTTTGCAATATAGGTGCTTTAGAGGTCTAAATAATATTTATGGAAAGGTATACCATACCAAATTCCTTCTGACTTAAAATTCCAAAGATAGTTTTTTCATTGCTTTTTCTTACATATGTCATCCTTTTTTTAAAACATCTCTCGCCTATAAACAAAGCAGCGAGAGTAGCCCAAAATAAAAAAAAACATGCAACCTGTAAAAAGCATGCCTTGAAGTTACAAAATAGAATCCCGAATTTTTCATGTTTACTAATTCAAATAATGTGCTAAGTTAAACAAAAATATTAGAAGTTCATTTGGTATTTATTAAAAAAATACATATTCCTAATCTATTTAACCATATTAACCATATTAAAAAACAATATTAAACTGACTTCAGTGATGAGTTTAATTTAAAGAAATACATTAACCATATTAACCATTTCATTTGTCAATATAATGAAGATTCATTATATTCAAATAATGAATTTGACGATAAAAGAAGATTCATTAAACTGGCTAAGTTGATCAGTAAAATATTAGTTCATTTGGCAGTTATTAAAAAAATACATATTCCTAATCTATTTAACCATTTTAACCATATTAAAAATACAATATTAAACTGACTTTAGTAATGAGTTTAAGTGAACAATTTTTTAAAGATTGGTATATCATATGTGTATGATAACAAATGTAGTTCAACACATTCAGTTTGCTATCGTGGATTCTTACAAATAAACATTCAAAATACATTAAAATATAACAACTTGAGAATAAATTTGATTAAGGAAGTAATTCTTAATAATGAGTATTTGTGTTAACTATTACTTTGGTATACAGGTTAAGGGTTGCTGGTTCTACGCCCAAATTTGTATTGTAGAAAGATCTTCCTAATCTAACATTAAATAATGAGTATTTTAGTTAACTATTACTTTGGTATACAGGTTAAGGGTTGCTGGTTCTACGCCCAAATTTGTTCAATTCTATCGTTAAAGAATTGGGCTTACCTGGGATGTAGTAGTAAAACATGCTTTAAAAAGCTTAAGTATGAGGGAGCATCTCTTTATTGTCACAGTTGTCGAGATGTCAAACAGACAGGTATTTGGCGGTACATGTTAAAATTAATGGTGAAGCATAGTAAGCATTTTGTTGAGGTAGTTATGTGGGATGATGTTTCAAGTAAGCTAATTGGCAAACCAGCAGATGATCTAAGTGACAGTCTTAGCTTGGTAAAGTGTTCAATTTATATTCTGTGTTATGTTTATCTGAGATTTTTAATAATTTGGAATTAGTAGTGTATTTTAAGTATAAAATTTACTGCTCTTCTTTTATGCAGGAGACTTTATCGCCTTCTGATGTTCATAATGATGTCTTGGATTTGATTGGCCGGGAATTCATATTCAAAGTTGGGAATCGGAAATTCAATACCCTTACAAATCAGAATGAGTATACAATAGCTGCGTTTTCTGAAAACGCAGAAAAAATTAAAGAGCTGAAGGAGTCTGTTCAAGAGGAAGTATTTGAGGTATTAATTGTATCCACAAAATTAAAGAGCTTGAGTATACAATAGCTGCGTTTGCCGGCATAGTAAATTTTTCCCTTTTAAATAACCATATTTGAAAATAGCCCATTTGAAATTAGTTTCTACAAACTTGCAAACACTTGAACTTTAACATACACTTGTGTAAATACTTTATTAAGATGCTGTTATACTACTTTTGTGCTTAACTGTTAAACTAAAAAAGTAATCTCACACAAAAAGAGGAACTTGGCTTTTAAACCTGCTCACAACTTTGCTGTATTGTGGTATTTATGTAATAAAAAAACTAAAACTCTAACGCTTGGTTACTATCCTTTGGTTCGTATTAGGTATATAACTCAGATTCCGATCTTGATTTGATGTGTGGTGAAGACACCAATGTCGAATCAAATATGGTAAAATATTTACAACTTTGTTATAAATAGAAAATTATATGCAAATTAGTGAAAAGGAACTGATCCAGGTGTGCAATTTTTCAGACGCCGCACTCACAAGATGTTGAATCTCATTGTACCCCCGAGTCGGTTTTGTCCAAGAGACATGTTAATGATGAAAATGCATCTGATGGAACGGAACAAAGCTCAGCCACCAAGAAATTGAAGGGGGTTAAGATTGAGATTTGACTTGACATGCAATAATTTATTTTCTAATGAATTTTGAATTTTGCTACTTGGGAATAATGACGTGTGTGATTTAATTTTTATTTTGGTTTGAATAAGCAAGACAATTTATCACTACATTATAAATTTCATATATACTGAAGTTATGAGATTTTTTCCATTTTTTGCATCTACGATGTTTTACCTTAAAAAATCAACAAATGAAACATCTTTTATCGTTTCGATGTCTCAATATGTTTTATGTGGATTGTGGTTAAAATTCTCTTGAGTGTTTGTTGGTATTGATCTTTCTAATTGGTGGGCATAACGGACAGCATATGTAAGTGTGTAACAAGATGCAATGTGTGATGCTAACTTTGTAAATTTTGGTTGTAGAATTTCTAATTTGAAATTTAAATAAGGTATTAGGAAAGGAACTTGCAGCTCAAAAATGTTTTGGGAATAGGCTGGGTATAAAAAACCGAGATATCTACAAGTATTTTTAATGAAATATCATATGATCAAATTTGGTTTTCTCTGGTAGATCACAAATTCGATCCAATCACTCCATGCGTGTTAGTATAGATGAGAATAAAAAAGAAGAGATGTAATGATGGTTTGTAATAGAGATGTGTATTTAGCATTTTTGTTTCGTCAATTCTGACATATTTTATGCCTGTTAGCATTTTTTATTCACCCCATGCATGTTAGCATTTTTATTCATCCTATTGCAAGCTTATTACATAGTTACTACTGCGTATATAAAGAGTAAAAATCTCATCAATCTAGAATTATAGAAGTCCTGTTTGGGCAAGTCCATTTGAGTGGTTTCTTGGTGGAATTTTTTGATTAATTTTGACAACACGCTCATCATGAATTATATATATGTGTACTTAGTTTAGTATATATAAATCTACTACGAATAAGTTAAACATTACATAACAATATAAGGTTGGAATTATAACATTAACAAAACACAACAATTCTAGGTATTACGTTGAAGATCAAAATGAAAATAAATTTCATAGTCATTCTAAATAGCTTGAAGTTCACCACCCAATATTAAGGATTTATTGTGAGAAACTACATGTTTTTAATAAGACAATTGGAGTTAATGATGGTTTACTTGCTTATTTGACAATTGGAGTTCAAACGTGGTATATTTCATCAAGTGTGTACTTTTTACGGTGTTTAAGAAAAAACATTCGAATAAAACGTACTACCTCCCGTCACAATTTGATAGTTCCGTTTAATATTCATTACTTTTTTATTTGGATTGTTTTCAGTCCTAGATCAAACCAAACCAAATCAGACTATTTCAGACAAGATCAGATCAGATCGGATTAGATCAGACCAGAATTTTTTAGTCCAGGTAAAAACATCCTGACGTGGTCAACATAAATCAATATTAATCTTTTATTTTCGTTTGCACAATTGTAAATTTTATTTATTACAAATATTTTGACCGGTGACAAAGATTAGCAAGATCGACCCTCTATGTTTGAGGGCCTAGGAGCGGAGAAATTAAATAGGCTTGCTTTTAGAAAAATTGAACAACTTTTTTTGTCTAAGCTAACATGTATAGTAATAATAACCGTTCAAAAAAAAAAAACTCAAAACATTTAAATAAACTATTAAACTTTCTTCTATCTAAATAAATAATACCAGTATTGTACAAATAGGATGTTTTTACTTGGACTATAATTCGTCCCAGACCAGACAAGACCAGACCAGATCATACCAGACCAGACCAGTTCAGACTAGACCATACCAGACTTGGATAGTTATAAAAATACAAAGAAATCAGACCAGATCAGACCAATTCAGACCAAACCAGACCAGACCAACAAATTATAATCCAAGTAAAAACATCCTTGATGATCTTTATTTAGGAAGAAAACATGATAGTCCTATAGTGCAACTTATTAATGTTTTACTGTTATTTAAGGAATTAAGTCTATTATTGTTGACTACTAAATTCTCACATCCAATGATGTGATAATTCTTAATTGTTTCATAGCTAAATCATTCTTATTCTTTGAATTATCATCATGAGGATTTTTAGAATTTTAATTCCTTACATATATAACCAAACTTTTCCATTGAATCGTTTTTACTTAGCTCCACATTATCTAATTTTTTCTTCTCTTTTTATCCTATCTAGATTTAATCATTTTAATACATCTTGAAATTAATTAAATTTATCAAAATAACAATACATTTTACCCTTGAAATTAAAGAAAGTACTCCCCCCGTTCCGCTAACAATGGGATAAGAGGGAGTGACACACGAATCAATAAAAAATGGTTTATGTGATTGATATTGAATTGATAAAGTAAGAATTAAGTATGAATGATTTAAAATGGGACAATCATAGCACGACGGAGGTAGTATAATTTTATCAAGGTTTTGACTTTCATCAAAAAAGGTTTTGACTTTTATAAAAAATTTACATCGAAAATTTTAATATACTCCTCCAAATGTACTTTCAGTTTCACGTCAATTAGAAGTCTCTACCAACAAACAATGAGCAGCTGCCACAAAGATGCAATTATAACTCCGTCACCAACTAACAGAAGCAACAAAGATACAGTTTCACTCCAATTAGAAGTCCCTGCAGTCACAAAAAAGCTTCGCTCGGTTAGTTACATCAATTCGATCAAGTGCTCTCCTTCTTGATAGCGGTACGGTGGTTCTACCGTGATCTCAGCTATATACTTTTTGGCAGAGCCGTCTCGCCGTCCATTCCTCTTCTACACCGCTCGCCGCCATTCCGGATTCCTCAAGCACAAGTGAATTACGGTATACGATTTGATTATGAATATTTTCCACTTACAAAGCTTTGTAATAAGGACTGAGAGAGCATTTGTGTTCTGTTATATATATATAATATGTTAAAACAGAAGCTACAGTCAGGTGTAGCATAGCGGTTAACAGGTCTAATGCAAAGCTGTTGAAACAGAATGCCACAAAGCTCGATCACATACGATAGTTTGTATGTTTTGAAGAACTCTTGAAGCATTTTAATGTTCTATTTGAAAGACTCTTAAGTTCAACTATTTCTAAACACTTCTATGATGGCAGCAATCATAAAAATCTTCTAATATATATATATATATGCAGGCAGTATGTATGGCACGATGAGTAATACAGTCATCAAAAAGCAGCAAACATAAGTATGATTGCAATCTTACCGACTACAAATACTCAACGTTTCTACAGTATGTCGGAGAACAAATATTACTTCCAAATCTCAATTTCAGGTTTAGAAAACTTAACCTTTTTAATACTCCGTATATAAATTTGGAACCCTTCCTCAATATGATTTTTACCTTAGTTTGCTCCGTCGTTGTTATAAATTTGATTATAAGTCTCATGTTTCTTTCAATGTGTTCATATATATTGATATGAATAATACTTCTAATGACCTAAACTTCTTTTTTTTTGAAAGGATGACCTAAACTTCTTAATAGATAATTACTGCATGTTCAGTTTTTCATTTGAATAGTTATTAGCAAGTTTAATATTTTCAATAGTCATCAATACCGGCACCCTTATATATATAAATATTAAAATCATTACTTTTTATTTGAAGCATTACAAATGTACCATACATTGACTCCTCTTCTTTTACAACGAAGACGTGGGATAGTATTTTAATGCCCAAGTTTTATACAAAGTATAATTAATACTACAAAGGTTTTATATATGTACTCCCTCCGGCCCGCTCATTTCTTCCGGTTTTGACCGGTATCGCAAATTTAGGTAGTGAGAATAAAGTGAAAATGTATGGTTGTAGTTGTGTAAGAAAAAAGTGAATGAATGTGAACCACATATTTTTTCCAAAAGTGGAAGTTGGAAGAATTAACTTGGGGCGGTCCAAAAAGGAAAGTTGGAAGAAATGACCGGGGCGGAGGGAGTATTATTTGTATGATGTTATTTGGAAAAAGTGAAAAATAATACGGCCAACTGTCATTGTTTCTCTTTTAATATTAAAAAATACCAATTATTGCTATATAGTAACAACTATCCGTAAATAAAAATCAATGATTTCATATAACATGCTATATAGAAGTATAGGTTTGCACACTGATGAAAAACTATGTAATCTTTAATAACTGAGAACGCAAATGTTTATGTTTTGGTGGCAGTGAAAAGTTAATTAGGCAAATTCTATGCTTCATAAAATAAAAAGTGGGGGTTTTGGCTTGCGATGTCTTCAAAATAAAAAGTTCAATTTTTCCGGATAGTGGTATATAAAGGAATCTATGAGCTCAAATCCAACAAATAATCAGAATTTAAAAATATGGGACT